TTGTTGTTTTCCCATGATAGAAATTTGAATATTTGGTTCGGCAATAAAATGAATGAGAGCAAAATATGTAACCATATACACGCATGTATGGTTCCGTGTGATTGTATCGTGGTTTTTTACCACATTATGTTCTCTTCCAATAAATCCATCGTGGCATGACTACCAAGTTCACTGTTTTCCCCTTGATTCGAGTGTATTGATTTCTAAACACCACGATCCAAAGCCAACCAATCACAATGCGCTGGCAAACGAGTCAATCACCTAGAATCAGCAAGCATAAAGTGCAGTGTCAGCATCGTAGCGAAATGTGCGCAATGTCTCTTGAACGGTTGTCAGAGGTTTCAGGATGTCCGGTTTGGCATCATTGCCAGGAAAGCTTTATACAAGAAAAATAATGCGCAGCATAATGGAATGAATTCTATGGCTAGGGATTAGGTATTTGACACAAAGTGTTGGCCTATAGTTCGCAGTTCGTTGATATTTGCCGTTCAGCATTATTTGCATTCTCTTTGTTAAATCTACCTATAAGCAGGTGATGTTCAGATATGTCATGACCAAAATCTGCGGATTTTTCAGCCGTAGAGTGAACTCAATTTTAGAGTCTAGTAATCAGATTTTAATCTATATAGGTGTAAACGTACACGATTGGTTACAGAGAAATTAAGATCATGAGCTGCTGGCCTCATGGGATGAGCTTGTTGTGATCGATCGATAATAATTTAAATTTAACTGCCAATCTAAGAAAGCGCCTGAAATACTGTTCACCAATCTGTTATCAAATTCCAGATCGGATTTTGGTGTCACAGGTTTGCCGCTTTTGGATAAGTAACGGAAAGTGAGGCGACTTATTATATAAACCAAGTTATTCTGGTCGTGGTGTGGTATTTTGAGAACGATCTGTTCATAAGAGTGTGTGAGTTGATTGATCCAGTTTCGTCGCATGGTTCATGAAATCAGACCTTGATGCCGGTGCCCACTATCTTCAAACAGCATTGACTAAACCATGCTGTCCGTAATTGAGAAACGATGTTCCCAAAGTTACTTTCTCTTCCATAGAAAAATGAGTATTGAACAATAAAGTAATAATACTCTGAAACTATGACGGAGTGGTTATTTGAAAATTTCTCATATTGCGTCTTTCCAGAAACCTTGTTCTAAGCACCACAGATTGAACAAGATAGAGTCTATGATGCTTTTATCGGTGTTTCGTATGCATACAGATGACCTTGTTTGGGTTTTGTATGTTTGAACCAAAATTTGTGATTTTTTTCTTGGTTCGCTAAACAGCAGAAAAGGATGAAATTGAGGAAGTCCTGTTTCCCCGAATATTGTAAAGTGGTCCCATTGCTTACTTCCTACCAAATATAGTACACAGTAGAGAGGTATTTATATTCCCCTTTTATTGATGATTGAGTGCAATACAGTTGGTTACATTTCGATATCAGTTCGAAGCAATCTCAACCGTGAATCAGCCGCAAGAAAGTGTTCCAGTCACTCGGTCTTTGATCACGCAAGACCCGACAACGAGACATATTCCTGAAGGAGTTTGTTTGATTTATGACCCTGGGTGATGCGAAAAATCATCTGAGTTGCTCATTAAATCAAATTTTCATCTTTTTTTCCGGTAAACTCAGCAACTGTCGGCTGAACGTGAGAAAACTGGATCATTTGTGTTGGTCTTTTTGGAGGGGGTGGGGTGGGAGGTGGATGGTAAGTCAATCAAAGATTGTTGGGGATGTTTCTCGGTGGTTGCCAATCTGAGTTGAAATCACTGTCTGAATGACTTAGAAACGAAAATCAATAATATAAGAGAACGATTGGAAACCCGTTGTTTCCTTATCTTTCACACGCTGTTTATCCAATCCCACCATCCACCCACAGTCTATACAAGCCGACCGCACAGAGAAAGTGCGTAAACATTTGGAACGCGTGGAAAAAGTGGCTAATTTGAAGCGCAATCAAAAGCCTGTCAAAGAGGAATCAGAGGAGGACACGGGAGCGGACAAATCATGAAAAATTGATCTTTTTATTTCTTCTTCTGTCCGTCCGTCCGTCTTTGCTTACCTCTTGTGCTGGAATGTGCCTAATTTCGTTCTTGCTGTTATCTAAGAGGCGTAAAGCCTATAAACTTGAATGAATTTGTCTTCTGTTGCTTTTCGCATGAATCTCTTTCGGTTTGCTCTAATACACACTTTCACACACAATCTTTTGGTTCTCGAGGTTTAAAATGTCTGTGCAGTTATGGGGAAAATTTGCAAGACGCGTTTGAATTGCCAGCTAAAAATAAAGATTTTGTCTGCGTTTGAAAACTAAAGCACATTGTTCAGTTCATACTGCTGTTTTGTGTGTATTCTTTAGTAGATATGTAGATATATTCTGGGAGCGTTCAGTTGCATTCGCCACAAAGAGCAGTGTTTTGACTAAAGGTTCCAATATCTGTCAGAACTCTCATCTCACAAAGATCTCTGATCTGCGTTTGACAACCCTAGTTTCAAGTATAAGTCAATTTATACAATTAATAAGAAGTTAACTGAAAATGGTCTTTTAAAATTTAATTATCATCCGAAAACTTGATACCATCGTGCCCGTGTCATCACATTGCTGGAGATGAACGATCAAAGCCGATGAGAAACCAACTTTGATCTGAACTGAGAAAACACAAGCGTCTGTTTTTCGAGACCATTATTAGACAGTGGTAGAGGTGAACGTTTTTGGATCGATCGTAGGAACCTGCCAGAAAGTTTTGTCATGTGGCTTCCTGGTTTAACGCATCGTAGAGTGATACTTCGGATTAGGTCTTATATAATATGTAGAGCTTTAATTTCCCGGATTGAAACCAAGGCCACTGGTTGTTGCGCAACTGTTTCGTTTCATTTAGGTCCTTCTTTTCCAAATGATGAGATGGTCGATCATATTGACAAAGTGGTATACATCGACGACACTGATTTACAATGTGTCAAATGGGATGTGAACGTTTGATAGGACCACCTGGGGATAAAGGACAGAATGGCTTTCATGGAGGAAAATGAAAATTGCTCTCAACACCATTTTTGGGGTCAGTATCAGGTAGAACGACCAATTACCAATCAATGATATTCCAAAAGGATTGGTGTCCGTGGTATGCTCATTTGCGCTCCGTGGATAATGGATGCTGGTTCATTGCTCTCAGATCAAGTATTAGCGACAGTATTCGGATATGGGGATGGCCGAGCGAAGTCTTACAATCAAGGTAAATCAGTCTACAGAACGTTTAAGAAAGCGCATGCTAACATTCCTGGATATGACTTGAGATCCCTAGGAGGAGAATGAGTTAAAAGGTATCCATAATGACCAAGAAATACCGATGAGAATTACCCCGTAACCTGTATCCATTTGAAAAAAATTGAAAAGAATTGCGTGACGGGATGTGAATATCAAAAAGACACATTAAAACACGCTAATTCTGACAGCCAAGAAAATGAGGAAAGTGTCATGACGAAGACAGAGTCATTTAATGTAAAGAATACTGTGAGTGTGTAAGTGACGTTGTCATATAAAATGCTAAGTAGAGCATAGTGCAAATCAGAGATAAAGCGATATTGCGTGGAACGGTCCAGATGTGGTGAACATTAGTGAGAAAAAGTGAGTTTGGCACTCGAGGTTTTCAATACTCGGATTAATTGTGGTGCATCTTTGATTGTATGGATTGCGATGACAACTCCGAAACGGTGTAATCATCTCATCAGGTATCTTGTCCTCGCCAAATGCGGATAGTATGTAGTTTGCCGCCAGAATGACGCGTCAGTTCACACCTCAAACGTTTGAATAATCGATTGGTCGGAGCATTGCCCCATATTAAACCCTGTTGTGAACGCATACGATAGCCTGAGAAGAG